CTCGATCGCGTTGTCCTGTCTGTCACCTCGATCGCGTTGTCCTGTCTGTCGCCTCGATCGCGTTGTCCTGTCTGTCGCCTCGATCGCGTTGTCCTGTGTCACCTCGATCACTTTGTCCTGTCTCGCCTCGATCGCGTTGTCCTGTCTGTCGCCTTGGTCGGTTTTGTTCCGCAGGTCCAGGAGATGTGTGTGATGTGCACACTCATTCACATCTCTCTCACTGCCATCACACTCTGCTGACTGTACTTACTCATTCCCCGTCTTTCTTTAAAAGCAGCTACCCCTCAGTACCGCCTTAAATTACTATTGTATGTTGGGTTAGCTGTAATTCAGAGAGCTGCGATTGAGGCCAGAGGTCACCCCTCCTCCCTCCCTGGTGCCGATCTCTCTCTCGCCTCTGCTTTGTTGACGGATCTGCGGACACTTCTGGCTCATGCGGCACCGATGATTTTGGGCCTGAGTGAGTGGATTCTCCGAGGGTTTAGCTCTGTGGTGCCTTGATGGGCGGCGGCCCCCCTTGGCAGACGGGTCATGGAGGCATGGAAGAGGAGGTGCCTGCTTGACGGAGATGACGGTGTTTGGGGAGCCGCGTGCGCCGGCAAGCACCGGAGGGGCTGCTGCCAGCCAAATCCGCTGGGGTGACCCGTTTAATGGGGAAGCCAGGCCTGCTTACGGCACATCCTCCGTAGCGGTTAAACAGGAACCTCACTGCTGTGCCTCACCTGGAGCTGCTGATGCAATGTGCAGCGCCACCTTCAGGACTGCCAATGGATTTTTTTCTGCCCCGATTATGCAGCATCAAAGCAGTCAGGGCAGGATTATGGTCTGAAGTGAGATAGGACGTGTTTCTGCCTCAGAAAGCCTGACCTAAATTTGTATTTAATCTGCAGCAGGTTTCGTTTGTTTTCCAGTCTTTTTAAGTCCATTTGAGCTATACATACTGCTACTATCTGGCATTATGGGTAGATATTTGGAGCATAAAATCCATGATTCTGAACTAATTCAATCATATTTTAAGAATCAATCACATCCTGTGGTCAGGAATGTGGGTGTTATGGATACTGTCTGTTTGAAGCTGAGGTTAGGGTATAGTTTTCAGGAGGGAGATTAACGCTTTTCCGTAAAACATTACCAATCAATAAAAGAATAAATAAGCCACCCATGTAACCCTGAGTAGGGGGGCAGAAACAAATGTACTGCATGTCCATCACAGCATTCAGCCTCTCCTTGGGAAGCCATCTTGCTTGTATTGCAGTGATATGTAATTATGAAATATCTTTGGGGCCAAGGAGACAGAATGATGTCGCAAGGCTGGGGGGGGGAATGATTTATATGTTGTTTTTTTCCATCTTTTCCTGGGGGGTGGGGGTAACAGTGATCAAGACGTTTGTGTGCTAAGCCTACGTTCATACGGCAGTGTCTCTGGGCTCCCGGGATCAAGTGACGGATGCGGGCGGAGCAGCTCCTGTGCCGCAGCAGATGGTGACTGTCACGTGTGCGTGTGACATGGTCCAGCTTCATGGTCCAGCTTCATGGTCCAGCTTCATGGTCCAGCTTCATGGTCCAGCTTGTGTCCTGTCTGAAAAGCGTGTTGAAGGTTAAACCTCCTTGGCTAAACAGTCCTGGCTGCCCTGCCCACTAGAGCACATAATAGCCTTTTTTCATGTCCCAGTGGGTGTGTGTGTGTGTGGGTGTGAAGAAAATGGCCCATTTTCTGTCACTGCTACCTTCACGGGCTGCTTGGGCTGAATGCATCTGACTCCTGGCGTATCTAAGATCTGCTGACTCACTGCCTGCCCAGAACGGCAGCAAAAGGTCCAAGTGTAAAGGTGTCGCTGTCTGTCTCTTGGCTTTATTTTTGCCATGATGTTAATAACTTACAGGACAGTGATGTTCTGAAGAGTAGGATCGGTGCTGTAAGCTACAGTAAGAACACCGCCATCTAATTCTCTCTGGTTTGCAGGAGACTGATGCTTGATTTTGGAGCTGTAAAGACATGTGAAGCCATCATTAGTGTCATGGGTAATCAGCTAAAATATGCAGGGGGTAGCTATATACCTGTCATGAATGTGACACATGTATAGGGGCATCTGCAGCCAGAATGAGGTGCCTGTTGATTAGTTTTCAGATCACTCCAGATTGTGCCCGCAAAGAATCGTGGGATATCTTTCTGCTGTGTATATAAAGCAATGCTGATTGACTGCCGGGGTGCAAAACAGGAATAGCGTGATGTAATGACTGAGAAACAAGAGGGCAGGGATTAGAGAGCGCAAGTCGTCAGGAAACGGTTGTCGGTTTAAGTGCCACGAGGAGCGCTGCCATCGTGTTCCTGCTGCGGCTGCTCAGTCCCTGGGGGACGATTCCCTTACAGTTCCTGCTGTTTGTTTCTCTTGCTGTGGTCACCGCCTGGGGAGGTAATTTGCAGTTGTATAAACCTGCGATGGCAGAGATCCGCTTCTGCCTCTTGAACCTCAGGAATATCTTGGCTTGTCCTGACCTTAGTGTCTCTGTGCTCGCTGGCTAACGCTTAGCGCTGCAGTTGTTTCAGGCCCCTTTCGGCTGGCTTGAAATGCTAATCGGGGTCCCCTGGTATGGATACGGTGCAGAAAAGGGCAGAAACGTGGCAGTGCTCTGTATTTAATATCACTTAAGCTTTATTAATCGCTTGGATCCTGCCAGCCGATGAGGGTTGATTCTGCCCTCCTTCATTTGTGATGCTGGGCACGTTGAGGTATATGCCCACCATGAGGAACATGCTCCTTCAGATAAATAATTCACAGATATTTGCCACCGAGGTCAGCAGAGACCCCCCCATATCACTAGCCATGAATTTACATGTTAATGATGGTATATAGCGTATGGCGGCACCGATAGCGTGGTATGTCCATATGGAAGCACATGGGAAAGAGTGACCTTTAAGGGAGAGTTTCCAAGGCACTTGCACTACATTGTATGAATGTAATTCTGCCAGATATTTTTGTATATTTGTATATTTTGCATTGTATTCCATTGTATCGACTTATGTTTTAGCTGAGTGTGGTTTCTAGGTTGTTTATCTAGCGATTAATATGATTGGTCTTGCGGAGTTCAATGTGTTTCGAACGATTTGTTCATAAATAACCATGCAGAGCCCAATGCTAAGAAAGAGGGCAGCCAAGCCCCGACTTCCTCAGGACTTTCTTGATCAGCTTAACCAGCTCAGACCTGGTCTGGCTGTGAGAGACACTGCACAGCTGGCCCTCACTGAACCTTGCTCCCCCTATTATTCAGTCAGGACCCTCTTTAGGTCTCTTTGCTGTGCCCTGTAAACATGAGATCTGTAGGTACCCTTTGATGATGTGACAATAGATAAGGTTTCAAGGATTTGGCCTGTAAGAGACGAAGGACTGAGGGAATTCTGCATCGTGCTCCATCTAAGTCTACAGCTGGCCTATGTACTGATGTTGCCAGGCTGTCTAGCAGGGCTGATATGCTGTAAGATTGTTATATTCCAGCACATTTGGGATCCCAATGTGGTTTTGTGTGTGGTCTCCTCTTGGAAAAAGCCGTCTTTTTCCCTCTCTTTATTGTGCTTAAACCACCCAAGCTGCGCGTGCGTGTGTGTCTGTGTCTGTGTCTGTGAGGTACATGTCCATGGCTTTGTGCTTCACTTCCTAACTGGCAGGAAAAGAAATTGATTCATTGCACAGCAAGACACCTTTACAGCACCATCAGTCAGCAGCTGGGCACTGGATCGCCAGGAAGGAGATCTGATGCTGTCCGCCGTGACGCTCCTGCTGAATCATCTCGAGCACAGCAGTTACAGTCTGCCTCCTCTGCCCCACACATCGTGCTGTCTTTCCCTCTGAATCATTCAATCGTACCCCATGGCATATGGAAGCAGGATGGGAATCTGACGAGGACCCAGATCTTGGGGTGGGGGGGGGTCATGTCCTTCCTGCAGCTCTGGGCACCTGCCTGATTTGTTGTTTGTAGTCGTGGCATAATTTTTGAGAGGAGCAGATGGATGGTGGGGCGATGGAAATGTTTTGTGGTGTTTCTCTGCAGACATGTGTGCTCAATCTCAATTGATGCATTCTGTTGCTTTGTGATGCATTGTGGGTAAATTCCTCAGACATTCACTGTCGACAGAAAGCAATATTTAAATCAACACCATAGATCTATAGAATAATGCTGAAATCAACAGTAAAGGCGATTCAGTACTGTACTCGACTAGCATGCTAGCAGCTAATTCGACCTTCTGACTATGGGAGCGGGGGTGTCCAGCTGCTAACAGACATGACCCCTTTGTGTTTCAGTTCTGGCCAGTTTTCGTGGGACGGGACAGCACGGCCTGCCGCTGGAGATTGGAGACACCGTGCAGATCCTGGAGAAGTGTGAAGGTTAACCGCGGCCTCCTCTGTGACATCACACCCATTGCAGACCTGTTACTGCCTGGCAAGACAACAGGGGCAGAACACTCATACATTCAGTGCTTAAGCAGTGTTCTGCTTTGCTCAGTGTGACAGAGTGTCTGTTTCATGTATTCATATGTGTGTATCTTCTGCACTAACTGTAGTAACATAAAATCAGAGACTATTTCTGATTCCACTTACGTAAAAACAGAGTTTATATCTGAACTCTCCCAAGACCCCTGGCTCTCAAGGTCTCAAATTTCATGCAATTTGGACTTTTCTGCTCAGAGAAGCAGTGCTTTGATTTTATTTGTAATCTCTTGTGTAGACTGCGGTGGGGGGTGTCGACCCAGTCCATCAACGTGAGCTTTTACAGGAGTGCTCTCATTCCCATTGCTAATGCTAACTCCATCGGCCCGCTTCTGATTGGTCGCGTGTGGGCGGCAGGCCGCGAGGCCGCAGCGCTGGTAATAAAGCGCGGACTGCGGAGTTTTGGCTCCCGCCCCTGCGCCCCCCGGACTGGATTAAGCACTCCGATAACAGACGCTTGACAGCCCTTCCCGTTGGTGCTAAACACTCCAGCAGGGCGTCACTGCGGCCTTTTCTGTATCCACAGACGGGCCAGTTGGGCCGAAACAAACGGAGGAGTGTGAGTCTGTGTTTAGGAAACAAACTAGCTGCATATCAGGGCAGGGAGAGACCCCACTAATCAAGGGTAGCATAAATGGCTGCTCGTACCCAGGAATCTTTTATTCATACAACATCCTTAATATCTGTCACAGCACTTAATGTCATGTGTGATTTTGAGGCCTATTGTGTTCTGGGAGAATGTTAACACAGAGATTAAAGGCTCTCTGAGCCTAGGAGCACATTCAGGATGGTGTTGTGGTGCCCCACCCACATTCTCTCTTTGTCCTCCTCAGGCTGGTACAGAGGGTTTATCCTTAAGAACCCAAATGTGAAGGTGGGTACAAGTGGTTTGTTTGTCTGGGGGGTGTTGTGGGATGTAGGGCTCTGCTTCATGTAGTTCACGTATGGAGATGACCTGTGATACGTAATCCTGCATGTGACGCATTTAGACGCAAACACAAACATCCTGTTTTTCTGCTTCATTCTTGAAATAAACAGTCATGATTACTTGTGTTTGATAAGCTGAGTAATAATTAGGCATTTTAATCTCCACACAGGGAATTTTCCCATCAAGCTACATTCATTTGAAAAATGCTCATATCAAGAATAAAGGGTAGGTAACGGAGCTGTATAATGAGCCTTTCTGATGTGTTTTGATTGGATGGAAAGGCTCAGGTTTTATTGTGAGATTGTGGTCTCGCTGACTGAAAGATGATGATACATAAGGATGTAGGAAGAATCAGCGTAGCTTTGTGTTTTTTATTTAATTGGGTGTTTTAGTGATGCACCAGAGTAAATACAGGAGTGCATGCAAGGGTGGGGCCACAGGAGCACTGGCCCCAGCTGAAAGCTGATTGGCTCCTGCAGTGCCTCCTTCCCTGTCATTCAGTGACTCAAAACATATCATTCGCTAATTATAAGGTTGGTCTCTCCGCATAAATTATGACCCCTTTTATGCTCCCCACCTGAAAAACATTCTCGAGTCGCCCCTGAGTACATGTTTCAGTGAGCTCTTGGGTCGGTAGCAGTGACCTGTGGCACCGTTGACCCCCAGGCAGTTTGAGACCGTGGTGCCGGAAGAGGACCCGGTCATTACAGAGATGACCTCCACGCTGAGGGAGTGGGGAACCATGTGGAAGCAGCTCTATGTGGTGAGTACTGCCCCAAGCCCGCGCCGCCCCCCAAAGCCCGCGCCGCCCCCCAAAGCCCGCGCCGCCCCCCAAAGCCCGCGCCGCCCCAAGCCCGCGTCGCCCCCAGGCCCGTGCCGCCCCCAAGCCCGTGCCGTCCCAAGCCCGCGCCCATCGATTGCCAGGCACCTCATGTTGCTGGGAGGCCTCAGCACTGCAGTGTCTGCTTCTCTGTGCTCAATGGCGCGTATGCAGTCTGATACCTTTCGCTGGCTCCTGTGTCCCCGTGCAGAGGAACGAGGGGGACCTCTTCCACCGACTGTGGCACGTGATGAACGAGGTGCTGGACCTGCGGAGGCAGGTGCTGGTGGGCCATCTGACGCAGGACCGCATGCGGGACGTCAAGCAGCACATCACCGCCCGTCTCGACTGGGGCAACGAGTGAGCCTGGCCCCGCCCCTCCCATCTGTCAAAAGATAAAGAAAAATAGGACATTTGATATGCTTCTACTTGCAGATCAGTCTGGGAAACCTTTGTAAATTGCAGATTTACATTTATTTTTATTTAGCAGATGCTTTTGTCCAAATGTACGTCCAGGTCAGGGGTACATGACAGACATACGACTGGGCATAAGCACAGCCAGGCTGAGCTTCTAGTGAACATCCAGGGACAGTGTAAGCAGTACTGGGGCAGGAACTACAAGGGAGTAGATCTGGGTATGGATGGTACAGACATGTCCCTAACAATACTGTGGAAAGTATCGTGTATGTGGGGGGGCCGGGGGTTTGGGGCATTTTGGTCCCTACCAAAGTTGAAACCAAACCTACGCCCTTGAAGAGCTACACAAGATCTTCCAAACAAGACAAGAACCTAATAATATGACAATTCAATGAGCATAAAGTAAATAAAGTAAATCCTCTGTGATTCAGGACTCCACCGGATGCAGGTTTTGATGACATTATGTAGGATGCAGGATGACTGTCCACAACGTCTTGGTGCTCGATTTTGGTCTGGCTGACCACACTGTGCATCCCTGTGATAGACAGCTGGGGTTGGACCTGGTGCCGAGGAAGGAGTTCAGCATGGTGGACCCCGATGAGATCAGCGTCACGGAGCTGTACAAGCTGGTAAGTAGACCAGTCTGCTGGAGTGCTAGTCAAGAGCAGGATGGTCTAGCAGAAGCATGTAGACTGACAGCTGGATTTATGGTATGCTAGTAGGCACCATGCTAGCTGTGGTTTTAGCTTGTATGGCGCCCTGGGCAAACCCCCACTTCAGTGCCCCCCTCCTCAACAAAAATTGTGCTTGTGTTTCTTTTTTATTACAAAATTTATAACAATACAAATAAATAATGATAAATTTTAAACATATAGTAAAATCCCATTATAGTGGGCTCGCTTATAACGGAATATCGTCTATAATGTACGAGGTCCGCCTTTAAGAACATGCAGAAAAAGCATCGGATATAGCAGACTGGCATATAACAGAATTTCGCTTATAACGGACAAACACTTTGATCCCCAGGGCTACTTTTAGCTGTAGTTTTGTTCGGCTATAACGGACATACAGTTCTGCCTACAAGGCGCGTGGCGTGCCAGTGATATCCAGCACAGATGCGTAGTCGGGATTATTAATAGTCACGCATGTACACATTACTGCATGTACAAGATAATCTATACCAAAGTGTGTCTGCTGGGGTGTGGCATGAGTAAATGGTGTCCTGTAGTTGTGTTCTGGGCATACAGCAACTCTGGATGTAACAGACTCTGGATATAACGGACTGTTTTGCCAGGTCCCTTGAAGTCCGTTATAACGGGATTTTACTGTATTTTACTAATTGCATTAGTACTGCACAGTTAGAGGTGCGGTATTTGTGAGATTACCCGCTCCCTTTCCGCGGGCTCCCAGTAGGATGGGCTGAGGTCAGCCCAGTTCCGCCCCCTCCTCATCTTGGACTTCTAAGTGGTAACCTGCCTGGCTAACAAACAAAATCAGAGCGCCCCCTCCGACAAGGCCCACATGGTGACATGATATCATTTATAAGATGTGCAAATGAGAGATAGAAAATCCAGTTACGCAAATATCACAGTTGATTTTTTTGTGTGTGTGAGTGCCTTGTGCCACACCATGCCAAGATGCCTGCCCATGTCGTCCAGACCCAAATCTGCCAGTGTTAGTAGGTTGGTGACCTGTAAAGAGTAAAAGTATTGGGCAGAATTATGAAGACTTCCATAAAACTTCAATAAAACTGTAGAAAATAGCATAAATGTCGCAGTGTGAGAATGCAGTAGGATCAGTGAACCAAGAAGACTGATGGGTTGTTGAGTGCCACCAAATCATGGAAGCTAGCAGGTTCCTGGGATAAATGTCACAGGACCATGAAGGTTGGCAGGCTGGTGAATATGGCAGAACCACAAAGGTGGGCAGGTTCAACAGAGAAGGAACACAGAGCCAGGAAGACCAGCAGGTGCGGCAGATAAACGCCAGAGCGGCAGGCAAAGGGTGGCGGCATCGCCGCCATCCATTCATACGCCATCTATTTCCATGGCAACCACAGTGACTAACACTGCGCCGTTCCCAGTGCTTTTCTCACTGGCGTCACTGAGGAACTACAGCTCTATTCGGCAAACAAAGGGGCTCGAGATGAAAGTGTCATGCAGCCGGCCTGCAATACGCATCCCGAGATGAGAGTAATTAGGGAGAAGGGGGACGAGGCAGAGGAAACGATCGCTTTTGCATGTGGCAGCTCCCACTGCCAAGGAAGATGTTTTCTGCCACATGATTTTATTTGCTCTCGCTAATGACATTCATTTCAATTGAAATGTCATGAGCAGCTCAATTTTTCTTTCTTTTTTTGCTTAGCTGGTGTATATATTTTTAGCGAGGGCCCCCCCTTCGTTCCGTAATGGCATGGAGTGAGTGTGTCATCATTTAAACAATAGCTGCTCCGCAGTGCGCAGTGTGCAGTGTGAGCCCGAGGGAGTGAGAGTGGGGCTCTGCCTGTTGTGGGTCATCATTCAGCTGCCAGTGATGGATACCTGGGCCAGAAATCCTGTCTGTACGGGACGGCCTGTAATGACATCTGTGGTGGCGTAAGGGGGGGGGGCCCTCTGTCGGGGGTCCTGCAGACGGTCCGTGACGGGCGTGTGGACCGGCCCGAGCTGCGGGTTCTGGGAGGGAATCCCAGAAACAACGCCTGCTTGTCACAGTTTGACACTGGTGCTTGGCCCCACTTCCGTGAAGAAGCACAGCCCATGCCCCGTCCCCCCCCGGCCACCCCCCATCACCTAAGGGGAACTGGGGAGGGATCAGGTCGCCCCCATGGGGGCCGTGTGGAGGGATGGCCTGTCATAGCCATTCATACCCGGCAGGGGTGCTTGGCGGGGGTTTGCTAACCGACGGGAGGGGATGGGGGGGCTGCAAGGCAGGGGGGCCTACTGAGGCTCCGTGAACAGCTTGTTTGGGGTCACCAGTCACTGGTACAGTGACAGCCAGAATAGGCCATCAGACAGATGTCAAGCTAGGCCACCGCTCAGGAGGCGACGCGGATAAGTGAGCATCCGCCCCTCGGCTCTGCTGTGACCCCCCTGGACCCCCCCGCACCCCCACTGATGTATGAGAAGCTGCAGTGTGCTCACTGGGCCTGCTGCCGCCCTCTGCCTGTCTCCTGCCGAGAAACAGATGGAGCAGCGGCATCGCAGGAAGGAGGCACCGGCCCCGCCCACTGCGCATCACCTGCTCGTCCAGGTGAAGAGTCTGGTGAGCTACAACCTTGCAGAGGAGCTGCAGGTCTGCTTCAGCATCTACGACAGCAGGGACGGTCGGCCTCTCAGGTACCAGCAGCCGGGGATCGTCCATCATGCATAGTTAATTAGTTATATTTACATTTTTTTTTAGGCAGTATATATGTTCTAATATTTGATTTCAGTGATTGGTGGAAATTAATTGAGAAAATTACTGCATTTGGTCAATTTGTACGGGGCCCAGCCAGGTCAAGATAACTGAACTGAAATGAATTCCCCAGATACATGGCTTCCTGTGCGCTGGCTTTGAGACCCTTGCTTAAAGCTTTTGCTCCTCCCTCCTGCCCCTGCCTTTGTGTGTGTGTGTGTGTGTGTGTCAGTTATTGCTGTGTGTTTTATGCATGGTGGCCTCTTTTCATGCAAAGCGATGCAGTTAGCAGCATTTGGCCATGCAGAGTAGCATCAAAGCTCTTCCCCACAGCTTAGATACTAACTCTCTGTACTGTTTGCTGCAGCTCAACAGCTTTGTGCTAATAATATAACGGTTGTGGTTCTGAGTCCCATGGAACACAAATAAATCGTAACCCTTCCTTCTGTTGTGAGTTGCTTTGTATAGAAACATCAGGTAAATGTCCTTTGTTTCATTAGTGAAAGCGGGGTCAGGTCAAGAAATATATTTCATGAATAAAATAATAATGATCAGCTATGTGTGAACAGAGCAATTTCACTGTATGACTGCATGTACGTTTAAGAGCAGCAATGCCGCCCTGTCTGGGGATTGGTGGCCTTTGGTAGAGCCAGTTCTGACAGATTGTGATCTCCTTCTGACCTTCTGACCATTGCCGCCTCCGTACCTGCAGTACCATGAGCTGCTTTAGGCCACTCTTGACAGCGTCAGTGACGATACTCGCTTTGACCCTTGGCCTACAAACAGCCAATGCTTATGCTACCTTCTCTTCAATGCTGGAAAAAGGTGCCACGTGTCCTGCCCCGATCGTCCGCTCCTCTCGTGTGCCACGCCCCCTCGTTAACCTGGTGTGGATTCCCAGTGTTTATCAGCTGTTTCCGGTTACTGTCATTAGTCCTCTGTATTTAGTCCGTGTTTCAGTTTGTTTCCCCAGTCCGGTCATTGTAATGTCGATCTGTGTGTGTTGCCTATTCCTTCGTGTTTTGTCGCTCATTAAACCCCGTAATCCCCTTATCCTACGTCTCCTCGCCTCTGCTTCCCTGGTCATCGTGTGACACCACGTGTTTTTTCTCTAACGTTAAGGTACCTGCCTCCTGTCGTCACGTTAGGTGAAATCCAGTGTTATTCGCACGCTTAAAACTGCAGCCAGTGGGACAATAAGTTGCATTTCCAATGGGTCACTTTCCAATTCACACGTTCTGATCTATGCTAATGAGGAAATGTTTATGTGTATTGACTCCGTTTGAGGTAATTAGGTTGTCACAGCTATAATACATTTAAACAGCAGTATGCACTCTAAAGTTCAGGGAATATATCCCTGCTTGTAGAGGGTACAGGCTGAACTGCTCATTATCTGGTGTTGTTGTTGTTGCACTTTTATGTGTTTATGTTTCTGAGTACATTTACCAATTACCCCACACACAGAAAAACAGATGTATAATGATATGGAAATATTGATGAATGCTACTGTTCACCTTACAGCAAATCCTCCCTAGTACCCACAGGCAAGTGAGAATGCGATGATGAGGATGGTGATGATGATGGTGTAATTTCCAGGCAGCTGTTAAATGTCCCCCCACCAAAGACACATGGGAGATGTTTCTCATTTTGTGCCGTTTGTGCAGGCACACACATCCTCACCAGCGGAGTTCTTTTTTATTTTTCTTTGCTGGTGAGCGTCCACATCTCCTTTTCTCTGGAAAGCCAGGGGCTCCGACGATGCCTTTTCCCTCCAGCTGGGGCCATTGCTAATTAATCATGGGCACTGTCGTCTCCGACCAGCCTTTAATCTACTGCTGCCATCGCCCATATCTTAAATTAAATTCTTGAACAAATGAGTAAAAATAGCACCTCGCTTTTGCCTGTCAGCTGGAGTGGTGTCACTGGGCTCTCAGCCAAATTTTGTTGTACATACAGAGTTTTGTTGTACTTGCACAATGATAATAAAGATATTCTACTCCTGAGAGGTAAACAGCCTTGCCATGCTCTCTGTCGTACCCCAGGCCCTGAACAGCGCTCACGGTGAGGGAAAGCTGATTCTCGTACGAGAAGCTAATGTGGATAGTATTCCATCTTGGTTCTTCATCAGAAATAAGCTTCCCCAGAGCAAACCCATTAGCCAGAGCCTTCGGGCCGCATTTGGAATGCCTTTTGAGCTCCACTGCTTTTGTTGCTCCTTTTAAATGTCACCAGGTTTTGATCTATTGTTCTTTTCTCCCACTCAAATGAATAACAAGCAAGCGGCATGAAAACGGAGAGTAGGAGGTACAGCGTGGGGGCAGCAAGTGCCTGCTCTGGGTTAATAATTTAACCTTTAATTAACCAACCTCAAACACAGAGGGAAGCAAACAGACATGTCCGAGACGCAGAGTATTTTATTGCCCGTAGTTACGTATGTTAAGCCATACCCAGAAGGCTAACAGTAAATGCAATAAATGAATGAGACAGTAGATACAGAAACAAGCAGCACTTAGACATTACACTCTGTATAAAGAGCAGGTGCAGGGACGACCGTGGAGGTCCGGATGTAGCTGGTGTTGAAGTGGTTGCTTGGGGGAGAAATCTGCTCTGGAAACTGGTCAGCAGTGTTCAGATGCTATGAAACCTTGAGCTAGAATTTGGGGGTAGAAGGGTTTCTGGTCAGGGTTTGGTTACCAGAATGTACTTTGTGTTTTGATGTGATAGCAGACAATGGATGGCAGTTTGGTATTTATGACCTTCTGGGCAGGTCTGCTCTCCCTGTCCTGAGCCGTATCACACTGATCCTGCCGGTGAGGGCGCTTTTACCATTATGGTGCGAATGTGGCCGGTCTTGTTCACCCTGGTTAGGGCACTTTGAGCGGTATAGTGCGAATGTGGCCGTCCTTGCTCTCCCTGGTTAGGGCACTTTGAGCGGTATAGTGCGAATGCGGCCGGCCTTGCTCTCCCCGGTGAGGCCACTTTGAGCGGTATAGTGCGAATGTGGCCGGCCTTGCTCTCCCCGGTTAGTGCACTTTGAGCGGTATAGTGCGAATGTGGCCGGCCTTGCTNTCCCCGGTTAGTGCACTTTGAGCGGTATAGTGCGAATGTGGCCGACCTTGCTCTCCCCGGTTAGGGCACTTTGCGCGGTATAGTACGAATGTGGCCGGCCTTGCTCTCCCCGGTGAGTGCACTTTTAGCGGTATAGTGCGAATGTGGCTGGGCTTGCTCTCCTTGGGGAGGACGACTTTGAGCAGTATAGTGCGAATGTGGCCGGCCTTGTTCTCCCCGCTTTCTTAGCTGACAAGCTTGTGTGGGGATCAGTCCAGGGTTCTCAGTCTGCCTGGTTCTCTCTGAGATCTGGAGACCATGGAGCCTGAGGTCGCTGACAGTTTCCACTGCAGATCTGTCATGATGGGCAAAATGCTTGTGTGAAAGCGAGTTTGTTATTTACATATATAGTTGCATGGTTCCTCTAGGGAGAGCATCTGTGAAAAACAGAATCAAAAATGCCGACTTTTCTGCATTGCTCTATTTTCCCCTTTTTTTGGCTTTGTCCCCGTTGCTTGGATAACCTTCCTGCTACATTTAGAGCATCAACAAAGCGCCACTCACTCACTTCCATCTTCACCCCTCGGGGTCCCATCGCCTCTCCTCTGTTTCCATAACTACATGCGCAACTACATCACATCTCCCAATTTCTTGTCCCCCCTCCCCATTTTTCCAAATTGTGTTCACTGCATCTTTACATCTGTGTTCAAAACGAACCCTCAGGAATCTGAGATAACGAATGCAGAGCCTCCCATGAATATTTCATCGTTTGAGGACATTAAAATGTAATTTTTTCCCACTGTCGGGTGCATTGTATTCCGTTGTTTTTTCACCATTTGCGTTAAATTATTCAGCCTCAGCAAGCGTCCTCTAGGGTCTCCTGATAATCACTAGGGCTGCCCTTCCTGGTCCCCACTAGTTAATTAATGGACAATAAAGCTCGGCAGTGGCTGAACGGAGGCACTGATAAGGGCCCCTGAATGCGATCCACAGGCTGGCTCCTCATCCATGACGGCCTGGCTGGATTCTCATCCGCATCGGCCTGGCTGGATCCTAATAAGTGTTGGCCTGGCTGGATCTTCACTGTGTAACTGCCGTATCTCTTTCTCCCTGTTTTCCAGTGAAAGGTTCTTTGTTAGGCTGAATAAACATGGGGTGCCGAAATCGCCAGAAAGAGCAGAGCGCCAGTGTACCCTTTTCACGGTAAGTGTCCGCCTGTGCTTGCATGCCGGATATTCCAGCCTTTTGTGTCCCTCTCTTTGTCTGTGGACACAGAGATTCTCCATTAGCTTAGCCTGTGACGGCTGTGTGTGCTGATCCTGAGATTTTCCCTTTCCTGTGCCAGCTTCCAGTTACACTTGGAATAACCCTAGAAAAACACCTGAATAAGCAGAATAATGCCTGGTCTTCACCTGGTGTCTGTGTAGTGGTATAAAGGAGAAAAATTGTCAATAATTGTTAATGTGAAGTAAAAGTTTCTTGTTTTTCACCAGGATTTGGGCAGCGGTGATCTGCGGAAAGACGTATATATCGTGGCTCACATTATAAGAATAGGTAAGACCTTCTAACCCGCGACCCTGAATTGGAGTCATTATACTGCTGGAAGCAGCATTTGAATGGATGCGGCTTGAGCAGATGAATCAGCCAGTGAAGTCACTGCAGGTGTTATAGTGTGTGTGGTATGTGTGTGTAAAGGGCTGGCCATTTCTCTTCCTCCTCTTCATCCTCCTCCACCTCTCTCCCTCCCTCTCCTCCTCCTCCTCCTCCTCCAGGGCGCATGGGAGCGGGAGAGAAGAAGAATGTCTCCAGTGTACAGTACCGGAGACCCTTTGGCTGTGCTGTCATCTGCATCGCAGACCTCCTCACGGCTGACTCCAGGGACGATCACAACCTCAAAGTCTACACGTGAGTCCCCAGCGCCGGGGGGCGGGGGAGCATTAGCCAGGAACAGCCAAAGAGTTACAGGTTTGAGCACAAAGAGAATCAACATGCTTCCTTTAATGGTTTAGTTATTATTATTATTTTTTTTTTACAAGTTTTGTACTAAGAGATTTGCAGGCACACAGGCTTAGCCCACTGAGCTATGAACGCAGGTATGAGCTTCGCCGCTGAAAGTGGCAACACTGGCGCAAAGCTTCAGCGGCAGAGACGTATCCGTGTGCTATATTGTAGCCGATCAGTGTAAACACTACCCAGACATGTGCTCTTGTTTATTTCGGTCACAATGGGCGTATTCACATATTTCTTCACCCAATACTAACTGTCGGATTATCATGTTATTATCATGCGAATAGCGCGATTTGCAAGTGGGTGGGTGATCAGAGCCGCTTCGAGACGCAGACGCTTAAGTCAGTCACTCTTGTTCTTTCTATTCGTATCATGAAGCTGTAA